AAAAAGAAAATGTAGAAATTGAGATAAGGGAAACTCTAGTTACCTAAAGCTTAGAAATTATAACATACCAAATGTTAAGTTGAATATTGAGGGGAAATTAAAGCCTGGGGAAAAAGTTACAACAGGACGCTGATGTATATAAGATTGAATGTAGTAATAGTAATAGTAATAGTAGTAAAGTTGGAAGGGACCTTGGAGGTCATCTAATCCAACTCCCTGCTCAGGCAGGAAACCCTACACCATTTCGGACAAATGGCTGTCGAGTCTCTTCTTAAAAACTTCCAGTGTTGGAGCATTTACTGCTTCTGGAGGCAGGCTGTTCCACTGATTAATTGTTCTCACTGTCAGGAAATTTCTCCTTAGTTCTAGGTTGCTTCTCTCCTTGATTAGTTTCCACCCGTTGCTTCTTGTCCTGCCTTCAGGTGCTTTGGAAAATAGCTTGATTCCCTCTTCCTTATGGCAGCCCCTGAGATATTGGAATACTGCTATCATGTCACCCCTTGTCCTTCTTTTCGTTAAACTAGACATACCCAATTCTAGCAATCGTTCCTTATATTTTTAGCCTTCAGTTCCCTAATCATCTTTGTTGCTCTTCTCTGTACTCTTTCTAGAGTCTCAACATCTTTTTTACATCGTGGTGACCAAAACTGGATGCAGTATTCCAAGTGTGGCCTTACCAAGGCATTGTAGAGTGGTATTAATACTTACGTGATCTTGATTCTATCCCTCTGTTAATGCAGCCTAGCACTGTGTTGGCCTTTTTGGCAGCTGCAGCACACTGCTGGCTCATATTTAGGTGATTGTCTACTAGGACTTCGAGGTCCCTCTCACAGTTACTACTATTGAGCATGGTGCCACCTATGCTGCACTTGTGCATTTGGTTTTTCTTGCCTAAATGTAGAACCTTGCTTTTTTCACCATTGAATTTCATTTTGTTAGTTAGTGCCCAGTGTTCAAGTCTGTCCAGATCCTTCTGTATCTTAAGCCTATCTTCTGGAATGTTGGCTATTCCTGCCAGCTTGGTGCCGTCTGCAAATTTGATGAGTTCCCCATCTATCCCTTCATCCAAATCATTGATGAAGATGTTGAAGAGCACTGGGCCCAGAACAGAGCCCTGGGGCACCCCACTACACACTTCCCTCCGTATAGATGCAGTTCCATTGAGGACCACTCGCTGAGTACGGCCGGTCAGCCAGCTACGGATCCATCTGGTGGTGATTCTGTTTACCCCACATTTTTCTATCTTATCAAGTAGTAGGTTGTGATCTACTTTATCAAATGCCTTACTGAAGTACAAGTAAATTATGTCGACAGCATTCCTCTGATCCACTAATTTTGTCACTTGGTCAAAGAATGCAATAAGATTTGTCTGGCATGATCTATTTTTGACAAACCCATGTTGGCTTTTAGTAATGACTTTGTTTTCTTCTAGGTGTTCGTTGATTCATTGTTTGATTATCTTTTCCAGGATCTTCCCAGGTATTGAGGTCAGGCTGATAGGTCTGTAATTTCCTGGATCCATTTTTTTTTTTTGAGGATGGGAACTACCGTATATGCCGACGTACAAGGCGACCCGGCATATAAGACGACCCCCGTCTTTATTGCCGAGCCGCATTCCTAGAACGTCGTCTTATACGCCGGAAACCACCAGTATTTCCGGCGTATAAGACGACTCGGCGTATAAGACGACCCCTGTCTTTGGCGCCGATTTCAGCGCTCGCAGAAGTCGCCTTATACGCCGGCATTTACAGTTGTTGTTAACTGCGAAGTCGTGTCCGATCCATTGCGACCCCATGGACAATGTTCCTCCAGGTCTTCCTGTCCTCTACCATCTTCTGGAGTCCATTTAAGTTCACACCTACTGCTTCAGTGACTCCATCCAGCCATCTCATTCTCTGTCGTCCCCTTCTTCTATTGCCCTCAATCTTTCCCAGCATTAGGCCCTTCTCCTGTGAGTCCTTCCTTCTCATTAGGTGGCCAAAGTATTTGAGTTTCAACTTCAGGATCTGGCCTTCTAAAGAGCAGTCGGGGTTGATCTCTTCTAGGACTGACCGGTTTGAACACCTTGCAGTCCAAGGGACTCGCAAGAGTCTTCTCCAGCACCATAGTTCAAAGGCCTCAATTCTTTGGCGCTCAGCCTTTCTTATGGTCCAACTTTCACAGCCATATATTGCAACTGGGAAAACCATGGCCTTGACTATACGCACTTTTGTTGGCAGGGTGATGTCTCTGCTTTTTAGTATGCTGTCTAGATTTGCCATAGCTTTCCTCCCCAGGAGCAAGCGTATTTTAATTTCTTGGCTGCAGTCCCCACCTGAGGTGATCTTGGAGCCCAGAAAAATAAAATCTGTCACTACCTCCATTTCTTCCCCATCTATTTGCCAGGAATTGAGAGGGCCGGATGCCATGATTTGGTTTTCTTAATGTTGAGTTTCAAGCCAACTTTTGCACTCTCCTTCTTCACCCACATCAAGAGGCTCTTTAGTTCCTCTTCACTTTCTGCCATTAGCGTGGTATCATCTGCATATCTTAGGTTGTTGATATTTCTCCCGGCAATCTTAATTCCAACTTTTGATTCATCTAGCCCTGCCTTTCTCATGATGTGCTCTGCATATAAGTTAAATAGGCAGGGCGACAGTATACAGCCTTGCTGGACTCCTTTTCCAATTTTGAACCAATCAGTGGTTCCGTGTTCGGTTCTCACTGTTGCTTCTTGACCCGCATATAGGTTTCTCAAGAGACAAATGAGATGGTCTGGTACTCCCATCTCTTTAAGAACTTGCCACAATTTGTTGTGATCCACACAATCAAAGGCTTTAGCATAGTCAATGAAGCAGAAGTAGGCATTTACGGTACATCAGCTCTTTTCCAGTCCTCTGGTAGTTCCCCTGTGTTCCAGGATCTTTGGAAAATATAGTTCAGTGGTTCCGATATCACATCTGCCAGTTCCTTGAGAACCTTGGGGTGTAATCCATCTGGTCCTGGCGATTTGAACTCATCTAGGCTGGACAGGTGCTCACTTACCATTTTCTTGCCTATCTTAACTTGTGTTTCTATTTTGTTTTTTATGGCACTATTTTTGATAGGTTGGTCTGTTTTTTCCCTTTGTGTAAAGACAGATGCAAAAAACGAGTTAAATAGTTCTGCTTTCTCCCTGTTGCTTGTCACCTTCTTGGCACTTTCACCCACTAATGGACCAATCATTTCCTTCACTTTTTTCTTGTTTTTCACATGTTGAAAGAAGCTTTTTTTGTTATTTTTGACTTTGGTCGCAAGCCTTAGTTCATTTTGAGCCTTGGCTTTCTTCACTTCATCTTTGCAGGCTCGGGCTATTTGCTGATATTCTGATTTAGTTATGTTCTCCTCTTTCCACTTTCTATACTTGTCCTTTTTATCTTTCAATTTGTCAGAGAGTTCTTTATGCAGCCATGCTGGTTTCTTTTGAGGGCTGTTGTTTTTCCTCTTTGTTGGTATTGTGCTCGACTGTGCTTTTATTATCTCATTTTTCAAAATTTCCCAAGCTTCTTGAGTTGTTTTCCCCTTGAGGATTCTCATCCATGGAATTCTTCCCAAGCCCTCTCTAAGTTTATTGAAATTAGCTCTCTTGAAGTCCAAAATTCTAGTTTGGCTATTCTATTGCTTGTGCTTCTATAATGTTGAATTCTAACATTGCATGATCACTTCCTCTCAGGGTTCCTATGGCTTCAACACCTTCTATCATTTCATCTCTGTTAGTGAGAACTAGATCCAAAATGGCTAATCCCCTAGTTCCTTTCTCTACTTTTTGGGAGACAAAGTTGTCTGCTAGGTTTGCCAGGAACCTGTTTGATCTTCCACTTGGTGCGGAGTTTGTCTCCCAGTTGATGTCAGGGTAGTTAAAGTCCCTATTGCTATTGTGATATGCTTCCTACATACCTTAGTTAGCTGACTAGCAAAAAGTTCATCTATTTCCTCTGTTTGGTTGGGTGGTCTGTAGTATACACCTATGGCAATGTCATTTCCCCCCCCCCCTTTTATATTGACGCAAATGTATTCAAAACAGTTTTTATCATTGTTGTGCTCTATTCCTGTAGAGATGTAGTTATTTCTTATATAGAGAGCAACTCCACCTCCTCTTTTATTTGGTCTGTTTCTTTTAAATAATTTAAATCCCTCTAGCTGTGTGTTCCATGTGTGGGTTTCATCCCACCATGTTTCCGTAATGGCAACAATATCGTATCTGCCTTCATTAACCTGAATTTCTAGTTCAGCCTGTTTGCTGTTCATACTCTGTGCATTGGTGCATAAACATTTGAGTCCTTTGTGAGTGGCCCTGTGTTTCCTTTCTACATAACCTATGTGGTTCCACTATATAACCTGTGTGGTGTAAACACAATTAAGATATGTATAAATTCAAAATTATTGATAAATGTAACAAAGATGGTTTTACTTAGTTGATAACAATAAGAATTATATTAAGTCAATATGAGATAGTAGATTAAGGGATAAAGAGAGGAAATATCTGATGTTGTAACTTGAGATTTTTGCTAAAGATTTATGTATGTTATAGAATCATTGATTACCCAGTCATCACGTTGCTTTTTAAATGTTTAATTGAAAAATTAGAAAATCAATAAAATATTATATATAAAAAATAACCATATCATTTTCCAGGCTTGTGCAACTGCAAGAAGCATTGTTCCAATTCAGAAGCTCATCTTCCAGAGTGAATCCAAAGTGCTGCATAGTTCTGCTTGCCAAACTCATATGTCCCTCATGATGATTTGAGTTTGAGAACTCTGATTTAGAACAATGCTGCATGATTAGAGCCTGAGAGGTGGTAATTGGTTAAAGAAAACTTCACATTATGGCTGCCATAACTTTATGAAAAATTGTGCCTTTTTAATTCAGGAACAATAGGTATACAACTGTATTTTTAAAATCCAGGATATTTTGTAATTGATAAAAGCCTTATTGTTTGGACTCAGAATTCACCTGACGGTAAACATTCTGCGTTTCAGATAAAAGCTGACATCTCTAAGCGGTATAATGGTCGACCTGTGAACTTGATGGGCACCACTCTTTGATTACTCCTCCTCAAACATGCCAGACACAGCCTTTCAAGCAGCAAAGTGTTAAACATCTCAAACAGAAGAAGAAAAATTGGGAAAAAGGACAAGTATCAAAAAAGTGTAAGGATCGAGGACAAGGGTTGCCACTGACCAAGCTCCAGGAGTTTGGGATCTGTAGTGGAAAAGATGCTCTGATCCCATTTTGTATCAGCTATAAGCACTTCTTAATAATTTTTAATGAGTCAATAAAGCTGATGTTTCCATATTAAATTTCTTGTTCATCTTATGTATTCTCTGGTTGAGGAAGGTAAGAACTATCTCACTGTTATTATTTCTCTGGAGTACTAATTGCGTTTTTAATTTTTCCTTGCTTTCTGGGGACATTCTCTGTACCCACTACTTCAGTGTTTCCCAAACTTGACAATTTTAAGGCATGAGGACTTCAACTCCCAGAATTCCACAGCCAGCAACGCTGGCTGTGGAATTCTGGGAGTTGAAGTCCACATGCCTTAAAATTGTCAAGTTTGGGAAACACTGCGGACTACTTGATAGCAGGAATATTCTGTGAATGCCAGTGAGTGATTGTTTTTTGCTTGATCAAAGAATTCCAGGAAAATACTGTACCCATGGTTATTGAGTCATCTGCTATTTCTCTTAATATCTTTAACAAATAAGTTTGCCTGTCTCTATTTGTGTTTTATTTATTCAACTTTCAGTTATCCTAAGGAAGAAACTTCTACGAGTAATATCATTGTCATTGTCTTCTACACTTTTAAACTCCCGTTTATTTCAATGGCTTCACATAAAGTATGAAGGAGCTTATAGCTATGGAAATTCTCAATCATCCAGATCATGGTTTTCTCACAGGTGCTTTTTCCAAACAATTGGATCTTCTTGTTTTTTTTTTTTTTTAAATGTTTCCTTTCTCATCTAAGAAGCTTCCTCAGCTCTTATTAAGAACTGAAGAAGCTTCTTGGATGTGATGAAACATTATATATAAAAAAAAGCCCAAGAAGGTCCAATTGTCTTTTTGAAAAAGAACCTTAGGAATTACAAAGGAACTTGCATTCAACTACTTTCAACTATAAATTCTAATTTTATGGTTCCAGTTTTGATTGTAGAAAAGATTCCAGCTGTTATATACAGTAAGCTACTTCCACTTTTCAAGAGACTTCCATTTCTGCACAGGAAGCAAATGCATTTTGTGTTGCTACATTTATACTTCATGTTTCCAGGTGCACACCTAACTCCAAATAGCTTCGGTTCATACACACAATGCACCTGGAATATAGAGTGTGCCGTATATGTGTGAAACAAAAGCCCTAGGTATATGCCTTCTATTCCTGCTGTTTCTCTGAAATATTTTCATCAGGTAAAATCAACAGATGTTTTTCTTGTTAAGTCCATGTTGTCCATCTGTGATTCATGTTTGAATGATAACTAAATGGTACAGTAGCCAGTCACATAGTGAATCAGCTCTTCCCTTTTTTCCATTCAAAGTTGGCACCTTGGAAGAGGCTAAATCAAGTCATCCCTAAGCTGTGGATAGACAGTGATGCCAGCAAGTTACTGTGCGAGTGGCCTCAAGTCTGTGCCTATTGTCTTTTCCCCTGGCAGATGATAAGAGAAGAGTACCAGTACCACCCCTTTTTCCCTCTAATTTGTTGAGGGCGGGGGTGAAGAGAGAGATCATTTTGGGGTGTGGGGGGAGGTGATTCGATTTTAATTTCATAGGAGAGCAGTTGATTCATTGCTCTTTGTCGGTGGTGTTGACTCTCGTAATGACTTCCCATCAAAATGAAAAGTGGAATGACAGCGTTCATTATTCCTGCTGCTTGTTATCTCAGCAGTGGGGGGAGGGCTACCCCCTCCCCCCCATGCAGCCTTTCAGCCATCCTGGACAGTGAGTGATGGGCCCTATTAATCACCGACCCTGCGGACTCTGGTGGACACACGCTACCCGGCAGAGAAGGAGAGAGAGATAAGGCACCAACAGCCGCTACAATCCATTAACGTCAAATGGGACTCTCTGGCCCCTCCTTCATTCTTTGCTTTCACCCTCTTGTGGCTATAGAGGTGGTTGTCTTCGGGTGGGGTGGGGAGGAGCAAGAAGGGAAAAACAAACGGACTCTACCTTTTGGGACCATCACCTGGAAACTGAGCAATGATCTTTTTTCATCAAAGCTCGGTATAGTAGCCTTCTGGGTTGTTTAGAGCCAATGCCTGTAATTGGATAGCCATTGCTCTGGCTACCCAAAAGGAAAGATTTCTGTTTTGCTATCTAATTTTCCATCCCCAAGCCCTCTTTTTGTTGACATAGCTCTCTAAATTCATTGCCCGTTGCCTGGTTGATGCATTTCAGCTGTGCCCAATCTAGTGACTTTCAAATATGTTTAGCAGAATTTCCAAAATTTCCAGTTACAAATGGATTTCTTGCATAAAGTGGAATGATTCCTATATCAAGCTATGAGTATGTACTGTATTTAAGATGAAATACAGTTGAACCCAATGTGATTTGCTGGCTTGCATTGGCTAGGCCTGGTGTTCTTATTTTACCTACATTCCTGCAGAAAACTTGCCATAGTTTTACTTTATGCTATTGGAAATTAATTGACTATATTTTGAGATTTTGTCAGATATGTCATTGGTTTGATGTCTTGATGCAGAGATGCAAGAATAATATAAAGTGTAAAAATTGCTTAAAAGGTAGTGGTTAATAATATAGACAGCCTAATATAACATTAAATACATCACTCAAAAATCTTAGATTAAGAAGAGACACTAAAATAGCATCATTCAATAATTACAGATTTGGTGGAGTACATTGAAATTAACTGGAATGTAATAGAAAAAGAAAACTAATCTATAGCAACAACAGTGTACAATTGCACATTGTTGGATTTATATCATTACGATTTCTTTTGTGTTGCAATCTATGGGATTGCCCAAATCTCTCAAAAACTTATCTGTGTTCATCTTCATGTGTGCCAGTCTTGAAATGTTGAGAACCTCAAGAGATAATCACTGCTCCCTCCAGCTGATCAATAGGAAAATGCAAAAAACAACTTTCACTTAGTCCTTTGCTAATGAACTACTGCCCGTTCCAAAGTAAAGAAATTTCTCGTGTGCACGTTTCACACAAAAGTGAAAGATAGTAAGTACATTGTTTTCTCCTCGTTTTTGTTCATATCCTTTGCATTTCCCTGGTTATATCTGAGCAGTTACAAGAGCAGAACTAATGATCCACCAGGTCCATGCTGCATTAAAAAGGTTTTGTGAAATAGAGCCAGAAGATAGCAAGAGATAAGCTTTCCCACTATTGAGAAAACAGCCTAACGGTTTTAAGAAGGTTTTATAAATGTAAATCTAAAGATGTTTGCTGTGCCATCAAATATTCAAGCTTGTATGGATCCAGCTAATGTTAACTTACTCAAGAGCTTATTCTAGGTGGATGTGGAAATTTCAAATGAAACTACCTTTACCTGCAAATTTACATAATAGCTATTTTCCCTTCTAAAATAGATCATAATACTCTGGTTTTTATCCTCTTACTATATTTTGTACATATTTCTATAATCAGGGACCATTAGCTGCTCCTTCTTTTGACTAAACTGTAAACCCAGACACTGAAGTACATTAGCAGTAATTCTATAAACCAATATTACTAATCAAATGCAAAGTGATCTGAAAGAAAAGAAAAGTCAAGGGAAAACCTTGATAAATGGTTGTGCTGAAAAACCAGATAAAGTGTGATAATTGCCTAATGTTTTGTATATTTTTATATCACACTTTCAGGGTATTTCACATACAATGTCTTACATTTGTTTTGATAACTTTTAAATTAGGACATAATTACTGGGCTCTAGAGTAACTTGTCCGTCTGCAGAGGGAGTAAAGCAATTTAAAATAGTCGATCACATACAGTAGTGACTCCAAAATCCTGTTAGATTTCTAAAAATGGAAAGGTTTTTTTTTTTGTGGCCTGGATGGTGCCATTATCTAAGGCTCTTTTCATATTTCAGAATCCTAAATGGAAAACATGTGCATGCTTTTGCACTGAATAGAATCCGTCTGGGTCACCATTAACATCTACTGAGATACTGGAGGTGAATGAAGTGGGTAGTTAGAGCAATAGCTAGTACACTAGTGGGAGAAAGTAAGAGCTAAGTGTCTATTTAGCATTTATAATTTCCACATTTCTGTACAGAGCTTAACAGTTTTTGTTGACTTACAATAAAAATAAATTTTGGTCCTTCCTTCCTTCCTTCCTTCCTTCCTTCCTTCCTTCCTTCCTTCCTCCCTCCCTCCCACCCTCCCTCCCTAATCCATGGAAACCTATGTCTTAAGTTTCTAATAAACAGGAATAAATGCCACAAAGGTGCCTGTTATGTCCTGGGCCTGCTGAATGACTCAGCAGGCTCAGGAGGCTGCAGAAGGCCTGGGTAGACCATGTGGTTGCCCAGGACCAGACAGGCTGTCTCCAGCCTTGTTAGCATGTGCAAGGTGGGAGACTAGCCTTGCACTGATAGGCTGATGCTGTCCCTGCAAGGGAAGTATAAAAGAGCCAGCACCATTTTGTTTGCTGTTCTGTTCTGTTTGTGATCTCAGTAAAGAAGTTGTGTTTGTTACTCCTACCTTGCTTCGATGTCTCTGATTCTAAAACAGAACATTAGCGACGAAGGTGGGATTGGCTGCAAGAAGAACAACAGGAAAAGCTAGGCTGACTTACCAGAGGAGGCCTGAAGCGCTGGGAAGTTCGGCATCCGGAGGAAGCAATTGCCTACCAGTACGAGAACGCTGGCGGTGAGTTCAGCTTTGTGGGACCCCTTCTCATACCTTGCAGTGAGAGGCATCGAAGAGGCTCCAGGCTGTAACGATGTCAAAGCTAGGCCGTCTATCGGAATTTGATACTTCTCACCCTGAGCGCTGGAGCTCCTATGTGGCTCAAATAGAGAATTACTTTCAAGTAAACAAGATCCAAGAAGATGGCCTTAAATCTGCTACATTGCTGTGTGTCTGTGGGCAAGAGACTTTCGATACTGCAGAGAATCTTGTAGCCCCAGCACCACTGGAATTAATTATGTATGCTGACTTAAAGAGGATGCTGCGAGAGCACTTCGAACCCAAGCTCTCAGTAATTGCATGGAGGCACGCCTTTGAGCAGAGGGATCAGAGGCCTGATGAGTCTGCTGCGGACTTTGTTGCTGCCTTAAGACAAACACCTAGGCCATGTGCATTTAAGGATCTAGACGAGAGGCTCTGGGATCGCT